GCCCGCTAACTCGGAGCAAAAGGAATTCTGTGCTCAGGTGAGCCTCCTCCTCCTCGTCTCTCTGGCCTTCCCCTGGGGTCAGGCACAGACCTCCAGTGGGGTGCAGGGAGCTCTCTGGAGGGTGTGTGGGAGCCTACTGGGGGACCCTTAAAGACCCACAGCCCAGCTCCAGAAGGCGGCCCAGGAGTCAGGGATCCAGGTGACTCCGGATCTGATTTCATACTTTATGGGGGCAGGCGGCTGGGATCCTGGTCACACGGGCAGGCTGATGAAGCTGAAGACGCAGTGCAGCCTTGGGCATCATCCTATCTGGGGTATCAGGCAACTGACACCAAAGACAAGCTTGATCTCCACTCGCCAGGGGCCAGGGAATGAGCGTGTGAACACCCTGTCCGTTCCAGGTCCATTTGGTTTCTGAGTAGGGCTCAGAGAGGAGGGGCTCACTATCCACTGAGGAGTGGTGACCTGGGCCCAACAACGGGGTAGCGTCCCACCTACCATGTGGAGAAAGGCCAGGAGCCCAGGGCCCAGGAGCATCTGGTGGGGCAAAGGTCTCCACCCCATACCCTCAGGATAGAACAGAACCACGCCCAGTGTTTGCAAGAGTAAGATGGGGGCAGTGGGGTGGGACGTGAGCAAATGCCAGGAGTAACTTCACACCCTCTACTGTGAAGGTCACAGGACCTCATCAATGCCAAAGGCAGTAAAACAGGATCGCTGCTTTCCTATCTGTTCCTCATGCCTCACTCAGATCTGCTGTGGGGCAGCCTCCAAGGACCCAGGGGTGGCCCCTCTTCTTTGCAGGGAATGTGGGTGGGGTGGGGCAGTCTGTCAGACCAGGACCCAACATGCAGGGCAGCGGGCAGGTGGGTGTTGGAGGAGGTGGGGCAAAGCAGGAATTCTAATGATGCTTTGCTGCTCTTCACGGCACCCTGTGTGCTCAAAGAGCGCCAACGGATGCCCGTTCCACCTATGCAGAGGGGAATGAACTCGTGCACATGTGTGAACGTGTGCTTCTGTGTTCTTCTCAGTGAACTCTTGTAACAACCCTGTAGGGTATGTAAATCGAGAATTGTAAACCCAATTTACTGATGAGACGTAAAAAGGTAAAATGATTTTTTTCAAGGGCATACAGTGTTGATTCCTCTACACCAAGAAAAGAATGTGAGGAGAGAGGTGGGATTTCAGGAACTAGGAGGGGCAATCCACGAGGTTCCTAAAGGAACAGCTCAGCAGGGATGGGATAAGAGAATATTTGGTCCATGGTGAGAGCACTGGGGTTCACCAAGCTGGAGCATCAGACTCAATTAGCATCATTCCTTTGCCACCTCCTTAAAGCCGTCACTGCCACCATCACTTCCCTCACCAGTATCGTCATCATTATCACCACCATTGTCACCATCACCACCACCATCACCACCATCATCATCTCCACCATCATCACCATCATCATCACCATCATCATCACCACCATCATCATCATCACCATCATCATCACCATCATCACCATCATCACCATCATCATCACCATCACCACCATCATCATCTCCACCATCATCACCATCATCATCACCACCACCATCATCATCACCACCATCATCATCACCATCATCACCATCATCATCACCATCATCATCTCCACCATCACCATCACCACCATCATCATCACCATCACCATCATCACCATCATCATCATCACCACCATCACCATCATCATCTCCACCACCATCACCATCACCATTATCATCACCAACATCACCATCATCATCTCCACCATCATCACCATCATCATCATCTCCACCATCATCACCACTACCATCATCATCATCATCATCACCATCACCACCACCATAACCGCCATCACTACCATCACCATCATCATCACCACCACCATCATCATCACCACCACCATCATCATCGCCATCACCACCACCACCACCACCACCCTCACAGCATCACCATCACTGGTACCACCATCATTAGCATCAGCACTAT